AGAGAACATGAAATGCACAAAAAAGTAAGAGAGACGAAACATCCAGGTAATAAGATACGACAAAAATAGTTGCAATTATATTACTCAAGCAACTGGATATGATTTCGGAAACGGTCAGACGTTTCAGGTAGCATCCAATACCTTTTGTCATTGACACTTAAAATTGTTCTGAACTACAGGTGCACTAACTACTTATTAATATGCAGCTACGTGTGACAACCATGCTCAGCTATGTGGGACAACTATGCTCAGCTATGTGTGACAACCATGTTCAGCTACGTGTGACAACCATGCTCAGCTACGTGTGACAACCATGCTCAGCTATGTGCGACAACCATGTTCAGCTATGTGTGACAACCATGCTCAGCTATGTGTGACAACCATGCTCAGCTATGTGTGACAACCATGTTCAGCTACGTGTGACAACCATGCTCAGCTATGTGTGACAACCGTGTTCAGCTATGTGTGACAACCATGCTCAGCTACGTGTGACAACCATGCTCAGCTACGTGACAACCATGCTCAGCTATGTGCGACAACCATGTTCAGCTACGTGTGACAACCATGCTCAGCTATATGTGAAAACCATGCTCAACTATGTGTGACAACCATGTTCAGCTATGTGTGACAACCATGCTCAGCTACATGTGACAACCATGCTCAGCTACGTGACAACCATGCTCAGCTTTGTGTGACAACCATGCTCAGCTACGTGTGACAACCATGCTCAGCTATGTGTGGAAACCATGCTCAACTATGTGTGACAACCATGCTCAGCTACGTGTGACAACCATGCTCAGCTATGGGTGACAACCATGTTCATTTGTGTAACAACCATGCTCAGCTATGTGTAACAACCATGGTCAGTTACGCGCGACACGTTTAACTGATCAGGAATCTGTCGAATCTTACCTGTTTACGTGACCTGCGTAGCTCCTTCCTTTGTCAACTGCGTAGAAGCAACGTGTTGGTAAAGCTGGAAATACAAAATGACAGAACAGTTCAATACAAAGGCATAATCTACTTTAACAAACCATCAGTTCATATAAGACGGATTACAACCTTAAGGTCATGAGAAAAAGGTTTCTTTTAGCCCCCGAAGATATCTAACCTTGAACGATATTTAGAGTTGATATTTGGTTTATGACTATGATTTAACATCTGTGTCCATAATATCACCAGGGTCCATAATATCGCCACCTTGAGAAACAGTGTGCTTAAAGATATTTTTACTGCAACATACCCCAGGTATGTACATTTGATGTGTGAAGGAGTCCATACCCAAAGTATGTTGCAGTAAAAATATCTTAAAGCACACTGTTTCTCAAGGTGCCGATATTATGGACCCTGGTGATATTATGGACACAAATGTTAATATGTTTTTTTTATTTGCTAACTTTTGTTGGTTATGTTATTTTGTAATCTTTATGTCTTTAATTTTGTTATTTTCAAAATACATATCACTATCTACATTATGTTCGTATGATAAGTTTTCCATAGGGCGTGTATTCCATCTGTTTCCAGGGTTAATTGGAAATCAACGCATGTGCTTAAACAGGGATTACACAGCTGTCTGCAATTTGAAATCAAAAATAGATTTTAGAAAATGCTTCAATAGGGCGTAGAAGCCTAGACGAGTTTCTAGGCTATATAATTATTATGTTATGTGGGTCAGCCCTAACGACTTACCTGTACAATTCATCTAGCTGGGACATGTATGCAGCACTATGGATACAATTGCAAGAAAGCTAGAAGGAATACTTGATACTCCATACTTGATACTTGATTGGGATATCCATTAGTTGCACCAATTTACCAGGTTATCTCAATGTCTACACATCATTTAATGCAACTATGTTGTATAGCTGACAGCCTTATCAAGTTTTGAAAGCTACTGGCTTATATTTACTATAGTTATAGAACATAAACAAGCATAGTAATTAGCTATGTGTGCCAACCATGGCAAGCTATGTGTGCCAACCATGCTTGGCTATGTGTGCCAGCCATGTTTAGCTATGTGTGCCAACCATGCTTAGCTATGTGTAACAAACGTTCCTAGCTATGTGTGACAACCATGCTCAGCTATGTGTGACAACCATGCTCAGCTATGTGTGACAACCATGCTCAGCTTATGTGTGACAACCATGCTCAGCTATGTGTGACAACCATGCTCAGCTATGTGTGACAACCATGCTCAGCTATGTGTGACAACCATGTTTAGCTATGTGTGCCAACCATGCTTAGCTATGTGTAACAAACGTGCCTAGCTATGTGTGACAACCATGCTCAGCTATGTGTGACAACCATGCACAGCTATGTGTGACAACCATGCTCAGCTTTGTGTGACAACCATGCTCAGCTATGTGTGACAACCATGCCCAGCTATGTGTGATAACCATGCTCAGCTATGTGTGACAACCATGCTTAGCTATGTGTAACAAACGTGCCTAGCTATGTGTGACAACCATGCTAAGCTATGTGTGATGCTCAGCTACGTGTGACAACCATGCTCAGTTATGTCTGACGAAACAAAAATTGGGCGCCGATTTTACCGTCACAGGCGAATACATCATCGCAGTACCTCCACCTGACAAGCGGGTTGTTGGTGTAGCACCACGGCCTGTCCTTCCCGTCCGGGTTCCGGCAGTAGTTCAGCTCCAGCCCTGCCGATGGGTAGGCCTCGGGAGTGTGGTTATGAGCGTGGGGGTACTGAGATGTCCAGAACTGACAGGATCTGTTCCGGTCTGCACGACCCCTGTAGCTTGTCCCTTTGTCGCTGAGATAGTAACAGTCTGTAGATACATATGATTACAGTGTAGGCGTTGTACATTATAAAGAGCATTTAAGAGCTTTGGATTTCCTGCTGATGTACAGATGTTAGTGTTGCGGTAGCGACAGAAAGCCTCTGGAGGCTAAATTGATTGTTGGTTACTTAATTCCTAAAAAGACATGATTTTAGACAGATAATTAAACTAGATGTTGTTAAAACTCACCACAGTTCTTCTCATCACTGTTATCTCCGCAGTCATCTTTAAGGTTACATCGTGTAGCCGGGTGGAACAGGGCTCCATTGTCACAGGCAACAGGAACTTGCCATGGGTAAAGAGGTAGCAGGTAGCATTTTTAATGCTAAAGCAGCTATTACATTTGTCAGGTTGGTAAGTCATGGAATAAATAGAATTCTTTTTTCAGAAAGTCAGTAACGTCTGTGACTAAATACTTAGAAGTAGTATTTTAATATTAGACTACAATCACGAATATATTACACTCCTGTACGTTTGGGACCGCATTGTGCATACCGTTTCCTGTGATTGTGTAGAATATGTAAATACTTTGCGTTTGGGAACGCATCTATAGCAGCGACTCCTGCTACTGCAATAAACCACAGGGATACCAAGCCGATTGTGTGAATTTGTGGAAGTACATAGCAGCTTTTACGACAAGCCAGCATATGCCGGCCTTTAGTGGCATATATGAGGCGGCATTTACGAGTTTCGGTAGCATGTGTAGCATCCTCCGTAGTTACGACCGGCTGTCACAGCGATCTCGCCCCCCCCCCAGTGATTTCGCCGTCCCCGAGACGAAATCTCTACCGATTTTGTCCTCCCCGCTAGTGATTTGTTCCCCCAAGCTCCGCCCCCCCCCCCCATTAGCGATTTCGCTCTGCACCCAAAAATCAGTTATTTCCTCAAAAACTTCCGTTTAAGCATGTCCAAGCACGCACATTTGTTAAAAAAATTTAATCGTAGTACTTCATTGTATTTGCGGAATTATGTTGCATGTAAAAACTCTCAAAACTATTTTACCAATGATTAGCTCAAATCCTGTGCTGTCGAGATGCCTATGCTGTTGAGTATAAAACGAGAGAATATTCAACTAAGGATGTTGCTCTCTTACTTGAACCGAACCTGTAATAATATCGTTAGAATTGTCGATCAAATTTGCAACTTCGTGTACCTGCCATACCGATGGTACGGTATAAAAGAGAAGACTAACTAGTCTACGGGGATCTATGAAGGCGGGGCGAAATCGCTAGGGATCTCACCCCCACTGGAGGGCGAAATCGCTGGGGGCGAGATCGCTGTGACACCGGCTCCCTATTGCCACTAGCTACCATGGATTACGGAAAATAAAACCAAGGCTAGACTCTCAATGGTACTTGACTTTATAAAACAGTGATGCCAATCAATTCACATCAGTTTGGCCTTATGCGATACAAACAATGTTGCCAGAGTGTGATTATTTGGACATTATGTTTTATTCAGTTATTATTTTATTTACACATTTATCCATTTTGTTGGCACATTTGTTGTTTACGTACAACACTAGATTATGTTTTAATTATCTTGTGCTTTTCTTTGTTGACTTCTGACCTCTCGTATAAATTTTGAATTATCCTCTTATTTTTAATCTCCATATACCGTTTGTACAAGTTTTGCTATTAATGTTACACTTAATTATGCTATGCTGACCACAGGAAGAATAGTGCTTAAGCACTAATGGGAATCGTAATTTAAAAAAAAAAACAGTTCTTATACTGCCTCTAGACCACACTAAGACTTGTTTCAACAAGATTGATGCAACTTATTAGATATATTTGAATTATGCTTAACCTTCTATTTCGACTACCCATTCTCTGTATTGCTATAATTGTGTTATTGACTATGCAATGTTGATGTTGTATATGTGTTTTTGTATGGGGGAGGGCATCTTGTAAAGGTGCGTATGCACCTGTTTTGCCCTCCCTTTCAGTTTGTGAAAGATTAAAATATACAAATAAATAAATGAACAAACTCACGACAATACTCGTCGCTGCCGTCGCTACAATCCTCTGTTTCGTCACATCTGGAGTAGAGATGTGTTAGGTGTCCACAGGAAACCCGGCTGTCATCTTTGCATTCTTTTCGAAACTCTCTACACTGCCCATCGTTACAGGCCATCTTGTCTTTTCGCTCGCCTGTGTCAAAGACATTTTTAAAAACATTTGTATTTATTTTACTTTATACGCAAAATTATTAAAAACAAATTTGAAAAGGTAAAGAAATTAAACAAAATAATGTGGAGAAGAAGCCAGAAATGCTACAGGGCTTGTACAAGGCCCTTCTTCTTCAGAACTTAATGACGAAATGAAAGTTTAAGATCAATATGATAAATGTAAAGGAATTATCAGAAAAACTATGATGAAGACTAATGCATATGATTGAATATCATAACTAATATAGTAATTAAAATGAATAAATGAATACAAAGATAATGCAAATAAAACTACAGTAGTTTAAGAAAGGATGTCACTAAATGAAAAGAACATCATTGTTGTTATGTTTGCTTGTCTCAATCTTCGAGGTTTTGAGCATGAGCGATACAGAAAATGAGCTGACTTCAGCATTTAATTGTTACCTTTCCAGCGAAGTGCTACAAACTTACAGGGTGTGATTTAAGGTAGCATTCTGTGTGTAATGATACTTACCTAGGTGATAACCATGTATGGTATGTAATTCATTTCGATAATAAAAAAGTAATTTAGATGTATTAAGGTTTTTTTCCTGAGAATGTATACTAACAAAATCGACATATTATTGTCATAGATATCACAGTGATTCTTCCTTTTTAAATTCAAACTGCTTAAATGGATATAACATCTCCTTACAAATAAATAATAAAAAGTAGTTAACTTGCGTCCAAGGCGTAAGTAGCAAATATCCATCGAATCAATTTAAAAGAAAACAATGTTGAAAATATGTAAATATTATCATTAAACATCTCTACGTTAGACTTCTCTACGTATGCGCTGAAGACCAAGACCAAGACTATCGAATGGCAATAAACAGCTGAGGAGAAAGGTTGTTGAGAAAAGGTTGCAAAAAAAGAACTAAGACTACCAATTAAAGAAATAATACTAGTACACGTATGTTCTTTATATTCATACTTACAGCAGTGTTGTTCGTCTGTATTGTCTCCACAGTCGTCTGTGCCATCGCACACTTGTGACTTGCTGACTATGGCCCCATTGGAACAAGTTTCTTCATCTATATCCAAAAAGACAAAAAAAAGTCAAGGAAACAGAGTTATATGGTGCGTTGTTGTATACCTAACCGCTCTTCAAAATGTCAAACAATGCTTAACCATCCTGAAAAGACGAAGCGTATCCAGAACAGTGCAATACGAACTTGAATACGCAGAGACTACTGTTCCAGAGTCGGGGCAGAGCCTAATCCTAGTACAAAAATGTACAGATATAATTTTTGTATCTCCTTTGTTTTCGCTTCATTCTTTTACACAAAATAGGCCACCCTTTATTCTTATTACTGGTACGACTTTGATGTATGCGAAGCATAAAGGTCTGTCCAGTGTAACATCATCAACACCTCTCAGGCTAAATAGCGAAGTTCTTTTTTCACATGCACAATCAACAGAACATCCTGGAGGGACATGTCTGTAACCGCCATACATCTTCCCTGATGCTTAGGGTTGATTGATTGATTAATTGATTGTTGATTGGTTGATTAATTGATTGATTGATTGATTGATTGTTGATTGATTGAAGAGTTCAAGAAGACCGTTAGTCATCATCATTAGGGCAATTATAAAATGTCCATTGTGCATTGAAGCTACGTGTTACTGGATCCCTGTGCACTGAAGCTAGGTGTTACTGGTTCACTGTGCACTGAAGCTAGGTGTTACTGGTTCCCTGTGCACTGAAGCTGGGTGTTAATAATTCACTGTGTACTGAAGCTAGGTGTTACTGGTTCCCTGTGCACTGAAGCTGGGTGTTAATAATTCACTGTGCACTGAAGCTAGGTGTTACTGGTTCACTGTGCACTGAAGCTAGGTGTTAATAATTCACTGTGCACTGAAGCTAGGTGTTACTGGTTCACTGTGCACTGAAGCTAGGCGTTACTGGTTCACTGTGTACTGAAGCTAGGCGTTACTGGTTCACTGTGCACTGACGCTAGGTGTTCCTGGTTCACTGTGTACTGACGCTAGGTGTTACTGGTTCACTGTGCACTGAAGCTAAGTGCTACAGGTTCACTGTGCACTGAAGCTAGGTGTTACTGGTTCACTGTGTACTGACGCTATGTGTTACTGGTTCCCTGTGCACTGAAGCTACGTGTTACTGGCTCACTGTGCACTGAAGCTAGGTTTTACTGGTTCCCTGTGCACTGAAGCTAGGTGTTAATAATTTACTGTGCACTGAAGCTAGGTGTTACTGGTTTACTGTGCACTGAAGCTAGGTGTTAATAATTCACTGTGCACTAAAGCTAGGTGTTACTGGTTCACTGTGCACTGAAGCTAGGTGTTAATAATTCACTGTGCACTGAAGCTAGGTGTTACTGGTTCACTGTTCACTGAAGCTAAGTGCTACTGGTTCACTGTGCGCTGAAGCTAGGTGTCATTGGTTCACTGTGTACTGAAGCTAGGTGTTACTAGTTCACTGTGCACTAAAGCTAGGTGTTACTGGTTCACTTTGTACTGACACGGTGGTCAAATCTGGGATGCAAAGTTCCCACATTTCATAGAATCCGAACTGTGTTCGATCGTGTTTGATCTGGGCAATTCGAATCGAACCCGCGTTCCATTTCGGGGTCACCTGCGGTCATTTACAATAAAGCGGCAAAACAAGCCCTTCTGCCTGAGTGCCTCGCAATAGATTAAAAACAACACTTTTCTATAGAAACAAACAGTTTTCTGTACTGTACACGTCCGCTATAATTTTTGGTGGGTATGTAACATGTAGCGAAGCTACTGTCGTATCCTTGGGTGACCTTGAATACTGTAATGATTCTTTATGCAAGTATGAATAACACAATGCACACTTTCTGGCGATATGGCATGTCTCCAAAACTCGTTCAAGCCTGGAAACATGGAGAGTCAAACATACCCCATTTAGGGCTCAAAATGACTGTAACGGTTGTCCCGAAAATCGTTTTTTAGGGATTTTTTAAAAATGGCCTCAATTTTGAATTATGGGTAATTTAGTGAGAAAAATGTAAAAAAAATGCCATTTTTTCACCAATATGTCGACAAAATCTAGACTTAAAATCAGAAATTAAAAAATCCCTAAAACACGATTTTTTATCTTATTTCTAGTCTGCGAAAAATATAAAAATCGGGGATCTGGGGTAATATACGTAGCCAGGTTTGAACGATATTTGCCTAAAAACGTGACATGACTTGTGCTCGGAAACCCGAAAATAATAGTCTTTCTGAGCGAAATTTAAAAAAAAAAATCAGTGATTTAACATACAAAGTTAACATTTAAAGGATGTTAAGACGATAATTTCATTTTAATTTGACGAAATTTATCCCTAAATATTATTTGGTTGTTTTCAAATATTTTACGGGTAGTCCAAAACAGGCCAAAATAGCGTCTTGTAACCCGATGCCTTTTAGAACGCGCATAGCAATGGGAAAAAAATGCCGTAGTGACAGACCGCCGTGTGAAGCTAGGCGTTACTGGTTCACTGTGCACTGAAGCTAGGTGTTACTGGTTCACTGTGCACTGAAGCTAGGTGTTACTGGTTCACTGTGTACTGAAGCTAGGTGTTACTGGTTTACTGTGCACTGAAGCTAGGTGTTACTGGTTCACTGTGCACTGAAGCTACATGTAGGTGTTACTGTTTCACTGTGCACTGAAGCTAGGTGTTACTGGTTCACTGTGCATTGAAGCTAGCTGTTACTATTAACAATGCAGTGCCAAACTTAAAGCTCTTTACCACAGTTTTCTTCATCGCTTCCATCCACACAATCCACTATGCCGTCACAGATCACATCATATACGTCACAGTCGCCGTCTGAACAGACTTTCTTCTCTAATCCGGAGCAGGCTGGACAGACATAAGGATGTAACAGTGGTGTTAGAAGCGCCCCCAACTGACTTGGTTTTCGGGTCTGGACCCTTTTTGCCGAACGGTTATGGCGCAGGGGTCGCCCGGGTTCGAATCCCGGGAGCCAGGGTTTCTTTCTACTTTCAAACAACTAATACTTACAAACAACTACTATATAATTAGTTGTTTCAAGAAAGTATGGATAGAAGTGAGATCAAATGTTTGCTTTTTTGTTTTAAAGAATTTTATATAACGCATTGTGAATGTAATTTACTTCCCTCATTTAACCTATTTATGTAATCCAATCAAATATCTGACATTTCTGGTTGGTGCTCACACAAGGCACACTCCGTTATAGTTTCCAACACAAAGTACTAGAATATAAACAAACATGGCTACACACACTCGACACGCGTCATATTTTTCCACTTTCACATATTGTGTAAATAAATGACCAGAAATTGGCTTTTAGCATCATCAAATTGTTACACAATGCAGCTTTAAGATTGAATGAAAAAATCGTCTGCATATTAGTTCTATTTTCATGGTGTTTTTATTAGACATTGATTTTTCAAGAATTGTATCTGTAGTTACCTTGGAAAAACTTGACCTCCATGATTTCGAAAGGTTTTAGAAAGATGCTAGAAAATTGCAGGCGCCAAAACTGCCCGGTAGCGAGAAACCCACTCAGATCAACTTCACTCATATGTATTTCTCCGTCTGTTACTGCACCAGAATGTTGTGGTGCAGGGGCTTGTTTCACGGTCTCAAACCTCTTCACTAATGACATTGAGCATAAGACCGTTACATCCCTGGTGTGATAGTACCACATGTGAATTCGAGAGAGTGTTACGGGGGTCTGCAGGTCAAATGTAAGCCGCCATGTGTCCTCTTCAGCTGCCCGCTGCCAGCCGGTTCTCATGTTGCCGTCCAGAACGTAGCCAGCAAGATGGCGGACGCCGTCTTCGGTCTCCCAGTCGTCAGGTGTCACCCATGTTGGATCGGTCTCCACCCAGCCACCTGCAAGTTACATAAGGGGCTTGTCACAATTTTCCACCAAGAAATGAAATATTTTCTTTGAAATATTTTTGTATTTGTAATATACTTCTAGTTTTCAACACTCTTCGCAATTTTCTTACTTTTCTGACATATACAATTGGCACTAAAACAGCCAACACGAAACAGATTCATACAAATATGCCACATGGTTGACATCTGTGTTTCAAGCTTTAAAACACACCTACATATATTTTGTCACACGTCTTAATGACAATTGTAATTAACACGGTTTGATTAATAAATTTCGTTAAGAAATGGCCATATACTTTTGTTTCGTCATAATGCTACATAATGCAGCTTTAATATGTAGTATATCTTTTGGACCAAAAAAAAGGAAAGGCTAGTTTTGGTGGTTTTCTACATACATTGTTTTATGGACACGCGGAGTATAGTACTATCCCCAGAAAATGCGCGACAATGCAATGGGAAGTCATAAAAGCCACCCTGCTTGCCTACGTGAACTGGTCCCCCTTGCCCCCCTTATATGGTTTCTCCAGTCAGTTCTATCCAGGGCCATAGTCTCCGCTTCCATTAGGGTGAGTCCTGTGTCTGTTTATATATGGTCATTCCACCTCTTGGGAAATATTCCCTGGGTATACCTCTGGGCTTTTTTTAACCCTATCTAGACCGGGCTTTTTTGGGCTTGGTGGGACTGGGGGGGGGGGGGCGTCGTTTCGGCCCCCCTCACGACTCGCGACGGTAT